ATTGTACCAGCTCAGTGGGTAGGCTCTTTTTTCTAGAGGCAGTTTCTACAAACTTGAGTGTAAAAGTATTTTAAAGTACAATTCTACTCCCATTTGGAGTGGTGAAAAAACAGAAACTATTTTTTAGGGAATTACAAAGCCTGGATTTTTATATTTTTATATTAGAAATGTATGACTATGGGCAAGAGACCTGATAGTACTTTGTAAACCACACAACTACTTCCAATGGAGCTTAAATCTCATTTGGGAAGCAGAATAAAAAATATCTCTCCCAGCTATATCATTTCTGGAAAAGGGGAACAATCTCTCATACAAAAGAGTATGGTTTAGTGTGAATGGAAATCATGCAAGTGGTTATGATTTTAGAACCTATTTATTAATTTATTTAAAAATATTTTCATACAGAGGGTATGATATATACATTTACATTAATTGTAATCTATATTCTATGAGCATTTAAAGTGCCCTAATCAGGAATGTACACTCAAGAAGTGATGTTTAGCAATATTAAACACTCAGAAATCTTTCCTATCGAGGCCACTACTACCAGCCATTTAGTCACCTTATACATGAAGCCTAATTAGCCTAAAAAATGTTAAAAATGAACGTTCATCCCTAGTTGGTGTGTCTTAGTTGGTTGAGTGTCATCCCATGCACCAAAAGGTCACTGGTTCAATTTCTGGTCAGGGCACATGCTGGGGTTACAGGCTTGATCCTCAGTAGGGGGTGTGCAGGAAACAGCCAATCGTTGTTTCTCTCTTACATTAAAGTTTTCCTCTCTCCCTCTCCCTGCCTCCCTGTCTAAAAATCAACAAAAGAGCATTATGCTAAGTGAAATAAGCCAGAGGTCAAGGGGAGAAAAAAAAGGAGACATATGTAATACTCTTTGTAATACTTTAAGCAATAAAACAAAATTTAAAAAAATAAAAATAAAAATGAACTTTCATTGGGAAAGTGCATGTTATACAAGATGTGCAGTGGCCACAAATGTCTTACAGGCACCTTAGCCCTCACCAAGACTGGGTATAAGAATCCAGTAAGTCCTTTAGCCTATGCCTTTCAGAAGGAAGCCTAAAGCTTAAAATTGAAAACAGATGCTATGACTTGACCTTCATGAAAGGATTCTGTCATCAGACTCTGACTAGAAAGTTAGCTGAATACTGTCACTATATTACCAAATCTGCCTTGACTAACCTTTCACAGAATATTCCATCATGTATCTAAGATTAGAATTGAGACTGCATTGAGATTACAGAATAGGCTGTATAACTACTTTCATGTTGTTTTGCTGATAAATGTCTGTATGTTTGAAAGAATTGAGTCAGAGGTTTGCTTTCCATGTAATGGTTTTATCTAGTAATGAGACTGTAGAGGAAGCTGACCTGTAACTCACTTAACCCTAACTAAGGGAAACTACTGGTATCTACCAAAAAGCACCTAATGGTAGGGAACCAACAAAGTTGATTAAGTCAGCTTGCAATATAATCTTCCTTCTGCCTCTAGAGAAATGAAAACTATTTCCAATCCTCTATGTTCTTCATAACCATATTCTTGTTCTCTTCTGAAGTCACTTACCAATTTTTTCATCTTCCTGTACCATTTTCCTTTCTTCTCTGAAAGCCCTGAGCCAGCGTATCTTCTCCTCCAGCTTCTTGGCAAAGAATAGGTGAACCTCCTCAGTCTCCTTGTTGTGAAGTTTAAAGGCATTCTTCATGCTGACATTAAAGTCATCATCTCTGCCATCTTCAATGTCTACTACCTCATATTTATCCATGTCAATGCGGCCTTTGTAGTATAGGATGTCTCTCCGAATCAGGTCCTAGGTGGGAAGAAGAGAAGACTTTGTTAAAGGTATGTAGAGAGTGGATACCAAGAGAGTTGGCACATAGGCACATCAGAATGCTAATACTGCCAATTGGAGGTGTTTTGGTCTAAATTTGGGCACATTATCTTAGTGTTGTGGGGATTTCTAGAGAAGGCCTAGTATGGAAGGAGAAATGGGGATAAAAATTAATAAAGAACTTCATATATTGACATGAATGAGTCTTACAGATCTTACTGTCTGAGAAAAATAGAAGTACATATATACAAAAAGTATATTGCTTATCTGTTATTATCATAGTTGTTTTGCTCTTGAGTGCACAGAATTAGATTAATCCTAACTCAATCTATGAGACACTCATCATTAGTCTATGAATAGTGCTCTTATTTCTATATTTATTTAGTTAATTACTTTTTTAAACATTTTCATTGATTGTTAGAGAGAGAGGAAAGAAGAGGGAGAGAGAGAGAAACCTTGATGTGAGAGGGAAACATACATCGGCTGTCTCCTGCATACCCCCTCCTGGGGATTGAGTTCGCAACTCGGGCATGTGCCCTGACTTGGAATTGAACCAGCACAGTACAATGCCCAACCAAGTGAGCCACACTGGCCAAGGCTAATTAACTACTTTTAATAATGTATTACGTTTTGGTGAACCCATCACACAATCCAAAATCTATGATGACAAAGCAAACTCCATCTCAAATCCCATGCTCATCATTCCCTTAATTTCTATATAGTTTATCTCATCTATATTTATTTCACTTATATAAGGTTTTAAAACATACAAGTTGCCACATGTTTAAGGATACATACATATGTACAAAAACTATAAAAATACAACAACAATACATGAGAAATTCAGTACAATGATGAGAATGGGGAGAGGCAAGGAAGGAAGAGTAGGGAAAAAGCAGAAAAGGAGAGGAGGAAGACCATTTGTAAAAATATTGCTAAAATTGAATAGTAAGTACATGGGTGTGCATCATGATTTTCGTATCTTTTTGAATGTCAAATATTTCATAAGTTAAAAAGCAGAGAGACAGATGAAATAACCTGTGGGCTTATGGAATATAAAGTCTGATGTGGGTCTCTGAGTGGTCTTTCAGTGCCTTCTCTCAGCACTGTCCTAAGCTTCCCCTGAGAGCACACCTAATGCTGGGACATGTGGTGTGGCTGAGTCTGGTGAAAGAGGACCCCAGTGAGCCCTGTCCAGACAGATGTCCTCTATTAGTAGCAGGAGCCCTTTCTGGCCAATTATCCCTCCTGTTGGCCTATACTTGGACTTTTAGACAATTTGATAGAGTCAGAAATGCTCATTAACTTTTATTAATATGTTATGGTTTGATTAAACTATTTCCATTCTACTGAATCGCCTGACATGACTCATTTCTAAGCTGCAGGCTATCTGCCAAGGATTTGCCTTTGGCCATGGCCACATTCCCAATCCTAACTCTTCATACTGCATGGTAAACTGGGCTTTTTGGTAGGGCTGTGGAAGGCTGTCCTTAAGGATTTCCAACATAGCTCTGTCAATCTTGAAGCTTCAGGCTGGAAAATAGAGATCTTATTGAATTGCTTCGCAAAAAATAATCATCACATGGTACTTTTTCCTCCCATAATAATCATTCACATACATAAGCTGTGAGTACATTTGGGCTTTGATCTGTTGGGTGTCCCTGGCATCAAGTTCACAGGAGAAGAAGAGGTCATCTACAAAGAGCGGGCAAATGTTTCTCCAAGCCTCTTTCATAGCCTGGGTTCCTTTTATCATCAGGCTCAGTCTGGCCAAAAGAATGGATTGGCTCCCATGTGCTGACTTCCACATCCTCAAGAACACTTTGTGGAAATATACATTAAAAGCTCTGTTAGGCTAACCTAACTACAAAAGCAGGACAAGCTTAGAATGGATCAATATAATATAGTTTGATCTGTAAAGGCTTAAAACCTGCCTTAATACATAATACAACTACACATAGACCCAGTAATCCAGGTCTGGACCACACAGGTGGGTAACCACTATGCTAGAATAAGGCAGTCTCAAACTCCCTTTATTCCTAACTTCAGCCTATAGCTTCCTTTCTCTCTGAGTTGGCGTGTCATAATCATTGTCAACCTTCAAAACCTCTACTAGTTTCCACAAATGGAAAGGATGCACATCAAACATGTCAAACTTAAAGGCTAACACAGGCCAAATAAACAAGGTGTAAGTTTATGTGGGTTGCAAAAAAAAAAAAAGCTACAAATTTTCATAGAAACATAGGTGTATTTCAATAGAGACATGCTGAATACAAAGGGCTGAAATAAATGAGTAATCACTGACAAAATAATAGAACATTTTAATAATAAATAATATTTTCTTGAACATTCATTTACCAGACACAGAATAACTGCACAAATTAATAAGCATAACACAAACAAACCTATTTTTCTTGTTCTCAGAAAGCGAATTATTTCCTGTTGCGCACATCCAATCAAGTCAGTCCAAGACTAATGATGTGGCAATTGGCTGCTAAAATATTAGCTGCTAGTGTTAGTGGAGAGAAACGGTGCACCAGCGCATGAGGGAAATGAATGCAACACGATTATAGTAATCAGTCATTAGCGAATGTTGTAGTTCGTTATTAATAATTATGTATAACAGGATATTGTAAAAATTAAGTTACAAAATTTTTATTAAAACATTTCTTACATATCGTTATATTGGCTAGGCCACAAAAATATTTGTTGTGGGCTGCGAGTTTGACATGCTTGATGTACATGATCTTAAAGCTAAATTAAAAGCATCAATTGAATCTCCTATTGTTTTTGTTTTGTTTTGTTTTGGAATTTAAAGATAACAAGCAACAATAGAGAATTCTGTTTCTGTGACAGGGGAACAGGGCTAGAGATATATGTCATTAAAATTAGGCCCAGCCGGCATGGCTCAGAAGTGGAGCATTGACCTATGAACCAGGAGTTCATGGTTAAATTCCTGGTCAGGACACATGCCTGGGTTGTGGGCTCGATCCCCAGTGTGGGGTGTGCAGGAGGCACCAGTCAATGATTCTCATCATTTATGTTTCTATCTCTCTCTTCCTCACCCTTCCTCTCTGAAATTAATTTAAAAAAATATTTAAAAAAATCACTTTAAAAAAAATAAAATTCCCCCTTTGCCTTCTCTTTCTGACTCCTCGGCGGGGTGAATATGAGTTTTCAAGCACCAGATTAGTCATAAGGTCAAGTGTAAGGATGTGATAGGAATGAACCACTGATCAGAAAATCCAATTACAAGGATAGTTATGACATAAAGCAGCATGAAACAATGGAGTGAGTTAGAGTCCAAAACCATGAGTTTAACCTACTGTGTAGTCTTGTGCAAGCCATATAACCTCTCTGAGCCTCAATTTCCTCAGCTAAGAAATGAGGGGAGTCATCCTTACCTTGTAAAATGGTTGTAAAGCTCAAATCTAAACATGCAGTTACCAGGGCATTATGAAACCTACCCCTCTATTCTTTTAATATATATTTTTAAAAATTTTATCTTTATTGCTGAAAGTATTACAGATGTCCCCTTTGTTTCTCCCCCCATTGACCCCTTCCACTCCAAATCTTCTCCTCCCAGGCCTTCAGCACACTGTTGTTTGTGTGCATTGGCTATGCATATGTGCATATAAGATTCCAGGTTAATCACTCCCCAACCCTCACCCCTGCCTTCCCTCTGAAATTCCTCAGTCTGTTCCATACTTCTATGTCTTTGGATCTATTTTGTTCATCAGATTTCACAAATGAGTGAGATCATGTGATACTTATCTTTCTCTAACTGGTTTATTTTTGCCTATCATAATATTCTACCTGTCCCTCTATGCTGTCTCAAAGGGTAAGAGGTCCTTTTTTACAGCTGCATAGTAATCCATGGAGCAAATGTACCACAGCTTTTTTATTCACTCATCTACTGATGGACACTTGGGCTGTTTCCAAATCTAAGCTGTTGTAAGTTACACTGCTGTGAATATAGGAGTGCATATATTCTTTCTGATTGGTGTTTCTGCTTTCATAGGATATATTCCTAGAAGTGGGATCAATGGGTCAAATGGGAGTTCTAGTTTTAATTTTTTGAGGGAACTCCATACTGTTTTCCACTGTGGCTGCACCAGTCTGCATTCCCACTAGCAGTGTACTAGGGGTCCCTTCTCTCCATATCCTCAATTAACATTTGCCATTGGTTGATTTCTTGATGATAGCCATTCTGACCGGTGTGAGGTGATAACTCATTGTCGTTTTTATTTTATCTCTCAGATGATTAGTGACTGAGAATTTTTTCGTATGTCTCAGATTTCTGTATGTCTGCTTTGGAGAAGTATCTATTTAGGCCCTTTTCCCATTTCTTAATTTCATTGTATGACTTTCTTTTGTTAAGTTGTATAAGTTCCTTGTATATTTAGAAAATTAATCCTTATCAGATGTATCACTGCCAAATATGTTCTCCCACGTAACAGGGTCTCTTTTCATTTTTTTTTTTTTATGGCTTTTGCTATGCAGAAGCTTTTTATTTTGATGTAGTCCCATTTGTTTATTTTCTCGCCATTTATTGAAGAGAATATCTTTACAGCACTGTATGCCCTTGCCTCTTTTGTCAAATATTACTTGAGCATAATGGCTTGGGTCAATTCTGGGTTCTCTATTCTGTTCCATTAATCTATATGCCTGTTCCTGAGCCAGTACCAGTGAGTACAATGGCCTTGTAGTACAACTTGATATCTGGTATTGTGATTCCTCCAACTTTCTTCATCTATTTCAAGATAGTAGAAGGTAGTTAGAGACCTTTTTTGGTTCCATAAATTTTTTTTGAGTATTTGTTCTAGATCTGTGAAATATTCCATTGATATTTTAATAGGGATTGCATTGAATCTATGCATTGCTTAGATTTATAATCACGGTATATTCTTCCACTTGCTTATAGCTTCCTATCTCTTTTTTCAAGGTCATGTAGTTTTCAGAGGGTAGATCATTTTATT